GAGCCTTACAAAGGTTAGGGCGGCTGAGATTGTGATTGTGAGGCCCCAAATTTAATTTTATGCCACTGACTTTTGTTTTCATCTCTTCTAGATGGGCTAAAGTGAATTGTGTGATCTCCCCCACAGAGTTGTCTCAGTGACTCCTTTTCCCCTTTTGTGTTAATTCAGCCTCCACACTTGTAATGAATGCTTCATTCTCTGGTGCTTTTCCAGACCCTGGGAATGAAGCAGTGAGGCCCCGGCCTTTACAGGGCTCTCGGCCCACTGGGGAGAGACATATGCTAATAAGCAAGTTATGAAGTAAATATGTAGCATGTCAGATGGTGATATGGAAGAAAGTAACACAGGGGTAGAAAATTGGGGTATCTATTTTTTCAAAAGCAACCTCTTCAAATGTTTGCCATTTGGAGTTTCTTTGCATTTAGAATACTCAGTCTCTTCTCTTTAGAATATTCTAATTATAATGTAATTATAAAAATTACATTTTTATAATTATTATATACAACCTTCCATATGTGGGCATCCTACTGGTCTTGCTCTATTCCCAACTCCAGCCGTTCTCACACCTCCAAACCAGGGCCAGTGTGTTGTAGTCCTGAACATAAGCCAGTTCCTTTCCATCTCTTTGCCTTTGCTCAGGGCACTTCCTGGAGTGCCCTGCCCTCCTATTCTGATTAACCAAGTGGGACCCATCCTTTCATACCTAACCCAGGTCTCCACTTCCCCAGGGAGCAGAGCTCCAGCACCACTCAAGCTCTATTTGACTTCTCTCTCTCTCTTTTTTTTTTTTTTTTCTGAATTCCTTTAGGACCTAGAGCCACAAACTCAATTCCTAATTACACAGCTGTGTTTGGTCTTTTTAATTAGTTTTATGTGTAATAGCCATCTCTTCTAGCTATGTTAGAATCTATATAACCATCAGGGACTTCCCTCCGACTACACTCCATGGGTCGTCTTGAGATGCTCTGGGGCACAGTAGGTACTCACAAACCTGGATTAAATATTAATTCCAACCGTAGCCTTGTGAATATAAATCTGCTCACCAGTCTTCTTTATACTTTTACTTTTCCAAATTTAAAAAACATGTTTATTTAATAAGCTCATGGATTTATCATTTACTGATTTATAAGAATTTGAACATCATTGGTTTTGTCTATCACGTGAAAGGACAAAACACTCTTCTTAAATGCACATAACTAATAAAGAAGTTAAACATCAAGAAATGTATTACTTCAGTAAAATTATAAAAGGGATGTCATAGCTATTTTTTTGTTGTTAAATTGAGTGCTATAGCAATAGAAGCAAACAAATAGATCTGAGTTTATAGCTAACAAAATCTCAAAGTGAGTGAGAAGACAAGCTACTGCTCTAATTTTGTGTTTTTCCATTCTAACTCCTAACAAGGGAGGTAGTAAGTGGATTAATGGGCCATGGAGACTGTGTAAATAAGTAGAGAACAGCAGTCGTAGGAGCTTCACTTAATGGTCTGGGAGAGAAGAGTTCCTGAGCCGGAGCCGGGCTCCTTTTGCAGCTTCCCCTCAGGTCGCAGATCTCTTGGAAGTCGGTGACCTAACCTTTCTAATTTTTCTTTTTGGCTCCATTTGTTGCAGACCCATTTCTCTGTACATGTTTCCCCTGCTGTCAGAAAGCAGAGCATTCCTATGTAACTTTCCATAAGCTGAAGCGACATGCAGCAAAGAAGCGATTATCATTGACTTACAATGTCCCTATTTTATGATTGAAACGCTTAATTTACGTATAGTTTTACACTCACCATTCCACCCGTGCAAGCTCTCTTGGCTTTTCCGATACCTTAAGATCCAGGTAAAGGATGTGCAGAATAAATCAAGATACAGCACAGGTGCTCACAGACACAGTTCAAAGCTGTGGCAGCTTGATGCTGTGATGCGGAGTGTAGTTCCCAGGAAAGGAGGTTGGCCCGACTACTCCGGCTGCTCCGAGCTGGCTCTCATTCTGTAAGCACTCACTGCAAAAGCAACACTGCATGCTATTTTTACAACAGTGAAAATCCTCTTTGGATTTCTTCCTGTTAGCAGAAACAGATAACATTAATGTAGGTCTTTTCCAAAAGTGAAGTGGCAAAATGCGACTTTTGAAAGGGGGGTGGGATACCTAGATACTAGGTCTCATGGGATGGCTGCTTCTTTTGAAAAGCTCAGAGTAAGTTTAAGTAATAAATACTATGGCTCTTGTGGATGTACAGCAAGAAATAAGTGAGCATTCGTTCAAAGAACTGAGGTCACTCATGCCCTCTACAGTGTACTGACTAATGTTTAATTACAGACTTAAACTCTTTTACTCACATATTCTTTAAAAGAACTTTGAAGAACTCATTTTTTAATCGACATCCTAAGATTTTTCAGTGTTAGTTTCAATTTGTGTATTTTTTGTTAAAAGGTAGAAAATACTATTATATAAAGATGAGGAATTCACCATAACTAGAATTATCGTTTCATGATTTGTTAATAGTTAAGCATATTAAAAAATATGTTTTATTGTTGTTCAAGTACAGTTGTCTGCATTTACCACCCACCCCAGCCATCCCCACCTCCCTCCCCTGATTTCCCCCCCCCTGGTTTTGTCTGTGTGTCCTTTATAGTTGTTCCTGAAAAACCTTCCCACCTTTCCCCCCATGAAGTGGAACCTAATGAACAAAACAAGCAAGTAAAATATAACCAGAGACACTGAAAATAATGGGGGTTAAGCATCTTATAAACAGAAGCACACTGCCTCTGAAAGAATTGAATAAAATTTTAACATTTTGGAAGTCCTAAAAATATTCCAGCTTTAGTTAAAAGAATCAACCTCCCTAACCTATAACCCTTTGAAAGTCCTGAATTCAGAACACTGCGATTCAGGCCCAATTACCTTGTTTCTCATGGCAAATTTCACCTAAATTAGAACACGTATAATAAGACAGAGGATAAAGAACCATGATGGATTTTGGTTATAACCAATTTGTAAATTTTGCTGGCTTCTTAAAGTCTTTTAAACCCTAGAGTATGTACCATGGTAGATTTGAGATGCAAACATATACAAAATCAGTCTTCATTTCAGACAAATAAGTTTTAGAAAAGGTTCCATGGGAAAGTTGAGGAACTGGGAATTTTTTTCCCTCAAGTTGTCTGTGAATGTTTATTTCTGAGAAAGTCATTGTTTGAAGTTTGAAGACTGCTGTGGGAGGTATTTGACCAAGTAGCCAAGATAAACAGATGCGCTGGTCCCTTTGGCGTTACATGTAAACAGTAATGGAAGCCAGCTTGATAAAGGTTACTCGTAACCTCTGGCGTCCTCTTTTTGATGGAGCGAGACACATTTTTATATGCATCTTTATTGTAATATAAACTACCTCAAATGGAAGAAAAAAGCGTGACTGAAAGTTAAGTCTAATGAAGCATAAAATGTACTTTTGTAAATTGGAATTTTGGAATTATGAACTCAAAAATGTGCTTATAAAATAATTTGCTAGTTTAGTGAATTTTAACTCATTTTATAAAGTTATGAGGATTTTGGCAATTACATCTTAGGACTGTCATTTTAAAGTAACATCATTTATAAATGTGTACAATAATACAAAAAGTAGTGTGTTTTGTAAATAAAATTCAGTTTATTAGAAAATTTATTTTTACTATTGTGTGTTGTTATTGCAAAGACTTACTTCTACTGAGCATCTTTATAAATTAAAGTTTTCCTAAATACATCATTACAATAAACAGAATATTTTATGTTATACTGTAGAATCAGAAATTACATGTTTATGTTGTTTTAAAAACAACCTCAGTGTTTGCCTCTCAACAATCAGTTGGAGAGCCTAGTTTTCTGTTGTGTGACTTCATTTTTAGGATTTCTCTTTTGAGTTCCATACATACCATGTCTGATAATAGTGGTGATTTTGACAAAATGTTTTCATTGTTAATGTAAAATTCCCAAATTTAAATTGTATATTACTGAAAGAAAACCATTGAAATGATCATTAAGCTACATCATTGTTTAAAAAACTGAGTAAAATACAGTGGGGTTTTCTTCATTAGACATAAGCACTAGAACTTTGTTTCAGTGTGTTCTTTTGAACCTCAGCCTGGCCTTGCAGGTGCTAGTAGCTAAGATGCAGTTTCCGTGGCCTGCCACCCAGGACTCTGGTTTTAACTGAGCAGCCTGCGTGACTCTGAAGCACACTAGCGTGTGGGAGCCTCTACCCCACAGCAGCATTACTTGGTCATGGGTGGTCCATAATGCAAATTATAAGTAATAAACAATTTATCTAACAGAGAGACCCCGCCCCTTTCTTACATCTTGATTGTAATAGCTTGATTTAAATTCCATTGTCCTGTCTTTGTAGCTGTGAAGTTTTATCCTCATTACTTTACAAAATGCGAACTATTTTTATCACTTTTTACAAACTACCCTGCAACTATATACAGAATATTTGTAAACTCTGTTTACCCAAATCACTGTAGAATTAGTGAATTAACTGCTGTAAATGATAGTAATTTTTAAATAGAGATCTCTAGTGATGTGCTAGATGCATTCATATATTTTAGTTTAATTCAATAAAATGGAACCAGTACAACCTTTGGTTTCACAAATGAAGTGATTCAAAATGAATGTGTCTGTTGTAATGGGGTCCTTGCACACTGCCGTGGGATACGTAGCACATTTCTGTCTCACGTTTTTCCTAAAACAAAGGCGACCTTTAATCTCTTCCCACAAACCTTCATTCACTAAACTACGTGCCAATGACATGAGATGCTCATTCTGACCGCAGTGGGCCTTACTCTTGCCTAGTACATCATTCGTGAATACAGTAGTTGCCTATTACAATGCATCAGGTATGTAAATAGCATTTATCAGCGATCTCTGTAAAGTTGACTCCTTCTTTCCCTTTTCATTATAAGAGGAAACTTTATTTCAGAGCAGAAAGTGCATTGTCTGAACTCATCAACACCCTCTCTATCCCTCCCCTCCCCGATTTGTTGCAGACCAGGATGAAAGAGCAGCTGAGCTCAGCAGGGAGCAGAATGAGAAAACCATCCGGAGCACGCAGACTGCGCTCCGCAATTTCCGGGAGTTCCTCATCTCCAAGTATCCTTCGGAAACCAGAGAGATTTATGTCATCCCTTGTAAAGAGTTGGATGCCTACCTTGCCTCTTTCTTTGTGGATGCCAGGCAGAAGGATGGGTCCGAATACGAACCCAATAGCTTGGCCAATTACCAGTGTGGACTGGAACGGTACCTCAAAGAACACAGGTATGGCTACAGCATCACCAGGGATAAGGAGTTCAAGCGTTCTCAAGAGGCCCTGAAACAGAAGCAGATTGAACTCCGCTGCAAAGGAAAAGGAAACAAACCCCACAAGTCCATGAAGCTCACCTTTGCCGATGAGCTCATTCTGCGGAAAAGGGGGCTGCTAAGCCGCTATAACCCCGAGGGTCTGCTCAACCTCGTCTGGCTCAACAACACCAAAGCTTTTGGGCACTGCACAGGCTTCCATGGATCTACCTTGAAGTGGGGCGATATCCGTCTCCGGGTCACAGAAACGGGGTTGGAGTACTTAGAGTGGATGGGTCAAGACACCGGTGACCTGAATGCCAAAACCAAGAGAGGGGGGACAGATTCCCGTGTGTACGCCACCCAGCACGCCCCGCAGACGTGCCCCGTGCAGGACTATAAGGAGTATGCCCAGCGGCGGCCTCCTGCCATGCGCTACGAGGATGCCCCTTTCTACTTGTCCATCAAGCCGGTCGTGAACTTGGCGGCTCTGCACTGGTACAACTGCCAGGCTCTGGGCAAGAACAAGCTGGCCAAGATGGTGAAGACCATGTGTGAGAAGGGCAACATCCCCGGCAGGAAAACCAACTTCAGCGTGTATCAGAGCTGCAGCACCTTGTCCGAGGCCCAGAGCAACCAGCTGGTGCTTATCTGTAACAATCTGAGCCAGCAGGCCGCCCAGTCGGTGGCGGGGCACTCCAACAGCGGCAACTTCATTGTCTCTGCCTCCTACGACTCTTCCTCAGATACTGCGTGACCAGGTGGCTCGAGCCTGACCCCCGTTTGGTTCCTGTGTCTAGAGAAACTGGGATCATACACTGCTTCTCGTGCCCTTGCCTCTGCCCTCAGTGTTAACTTTATAAAAATATAAATCTATAATATATTTTTCTTTTTACAAATAAGCCAACGGAGATAGTTTAGTATGACTAACATAGTATTTATAGGCTTCACACAAACGTACTTGTGGGTGAGTCAGTGTAATTACTGTTACAGACTTTTTCAAAACCATAGTGATTCTCAGGCAACACAAAGTAGAGAAGGAATCTTGTTTTTTAAAAAACTGTCCAAAAGGAAACTGAGTTGTGCTAGATTCTGTGTCCTCAACTCCCGATTTTTCTTCCCGCCGCAATGCTCATTGCTAGTCTACTTAATAAATGGCCTTATTTTTTTAATTTTTCAAATTCTCTATTAATCAGGAGGAGATGACACTAACTTCACTGCTTACACAAAATTACATTCAGTCAGATCCAAAATATGAAAGTGTTGGCTGTGAGCTCGACTTCCAATTATTTATATACTTTTTTTTTACTTAATTAGAATTTTAGCTCCTGCACCTTAATTTTTGCAATGTATGAAAATTTAGAGGCTTAGCTAACATTTTTTTGGCGGGGGGAGGGACTAGAGGGAGGGAATAAGGTACCATTTATTTTGGAACGTAGTTTTAAAATAATATGCAAAGACCTTTTTTTATGGCAAAACAGACTGTTACATGACTCCTTTTTACTGTCGTGCTTGAACTTGGATAGAATTTTTTTGTTCCCTAAGAAATCAGTGTAAATGAAATTTGATTATCAGATTTAAAAGAAATTTAAAACTACCAAAGCTTTGAAAATGTTCCCAAGCATTAGATTGTATATCAAGCATGAAGATTAGGTAGGGAATGGGAAAGTGTTACTAAAGGTCTAGAAGTACTAGTTAATATAACAAAAAAACTCTCTTCAAAGTTCAGATCCCTCTTGAATTATTTATTTATAAGCATTAAACCTCAGTATCTTTTCTCTAGAGGATTACGTGACTCTGTAGTTGAGATCAAAGAAAAATCGACACTCATTTTAGGTAACAGCATTTGTTACCAGACTTAGCTGAATTCAAAGCATTCTTGAAAATGTGCAAAGTTCCTTCTATAGTAAATGTAAATGCATTTATCTGCACCATCCTGCAATAATAGTAATAATTTTGGTTAAACAGCTCCTTGTGGTAGTTTTTCCAGGGTCTTTATTTTCAAGTCTTGAAGCCTGTGTTGAATTATAAGTTAACATACCTCAAAAATAAAACAGATTTAGACATTAGAGCTCCAATAAAGCTGAGCTAGGTTCCCATCCTGTATAATCATTAATGCATAAAAAAATCCAAATTTTAATTGCTGGACATTCTGGGTATTCTGTTGGGGAGTATTTATTTTTCAAGGCAACCTCATCATTCAGTTAGCTAGAAGGGTAGGTGTTGTATTCTGTATTTGTTGTACCACCAGGACAAATTTCGTTTTGTTTTGCTTTGCTAAAGCATAACATTAGCTGAACTTTCGAATGGCGAGGCGGTGAGGCAGCTCGTTTCAACACTAAATAAGTAGCACATGAAGCCCCCTTCCTCTGAGCTGTGGCCGTTCCTTTGGCTTGGGAGTGGGAAGTCCGTCGTGGCCTTTGTATGGTAGAATCAACTTCATTTCATGACTTTGTTTCATAGAGAGGCATCCACGAACGAGAAGAAAGGGCGAAAGATATCTTTTATTTTTTTTGTATTAATAATGATGATAGGCACCATTTTTGATCCAGTATGTGGTTCAGCACTGTGCTAAGTGACTTACATGCTTCAGTTATATAAAAAAAATAGTTACTAGTTGTATGAAAATTAGGAAGTACAGATAAGCATAAACAAAACAAAACATATACACATTAGCTAGCCAAAAATAACTGCTGGGAACAGTTTGGTATCTATTTCTTCAGATATTTCAATATGTACCTATTTATTCCTATGTACATTATCTTTAATCCTTTCAATAACTTTGAAAGGAAGGTAAATTATCTTCGTTTTATGTTGAGATCAGGACAAATCAGTTAGATTATAGCTAAGGAAATGGTACTGTCTGTCATCTGACTCCAGAGTTCTTCTGTTTATCTTTCTTAGTTCCAACTTGTCACTTCTAGTGATTGGAGCCAGATGTGGGGGCACAGTGTCTTCCCAGACCTCTAGGGGTCCTGAGTTGTCTGCCATGGTGGCACAGTCTGCCCCCTGGTCCTCTCATTCATTTTGAACCATGGGTCTCTTTCTCCCAGTTCTTTACAAAACATCCTGTTCTCCGTAACTGGTCTTCTGAGTGCACAGGACAGCCTAATGTAAAAGAACTTTTTAAAAATAAGGATATTTTTACATAGGGTACCTCACATGTTAAAGAAAAGGCTTCTATAAAGAATACTTAAAATGTGATCGTGCGTTTTATTTTTGCATTGACATAATTTTTTTAAGTTCTTGATATGTTTTAGATAGCAGAGTAGGTTTGTTACAAGGAAGAAGAAGAACAGTCAGTAAGCAGTGAAAAACAACTAGGAAATTTCAAATTTCCATTACTGTTTATTGAGGTACTGAACTTAAAATCTGTTTTTATTCCTATTGCATTTTCATTTAGAAGAACACCAATGGAGAATGTGAATTACTTTTTATGTACTTTTTGCTTTGGTAACGGAAACCAAATAGGAACATCACGACAGGTTTAGAAAGCTGTTTTTGGAGGAATGATGTGGTAGACATACATAGCCAGAAAATTAGTATCTGTTTGAGTTAAATTACGAAAAATTATCTGCAACTACCTCTAAATTTTGTGATTTTATGTAAACAATACTGAGGATACACCACTGCCAGATGCCATTTTTATTGTTATTGCAACTTAAGGAAAATTATGTGCAGACTGTGACAGTGGTAGACACCGAAATCGTGTGTGTGCTTCAGCAGGAGTGCAGCTGTTTAGCAGCATAATATACACGTGCCCTTTCAGACGATCCCATGGTTCACACAGAAACACCAACACTTTATTTGCCACGTTTACACTTTCAGGTCAGTGCATTGTCCTGTAAGACAGTTTCCAGTGCCTCTCATGTGATTCTGGAAGTTTTGCACTGTCTGTAACAAAAACGTCAAACCCATCTGTTCGTTCGGATGACATAGCTGCATAATTCAGTCTTCTGTATTCATGTAAGTGACTGGCTATTGAAAACCATAGACTATAGCAGTTTAAAAAAAACAGTGTTTGAAGAGACTAGCGATATTTAGGATATTAATCCAACAGACCTTATACATAAGATTCCATTTGTTGTCTTGGTTAGTAGGACTGGTTTGAATATGATTCATAAATATACATCAGCTATTTTAAATGTATGTTATTTGATTATTGTTTTTCCCCATGTCAAATTTTCCCTGCGCTAATTCACTCTTCCCTATGTTAAATCACTTACTGGTCTACAAAGGAGTAATATGAGGAGTCTCCAGCATAGGTTGAGTCTCTTTGGTTTTTTAGTTAGGTCATTGTGAGCTGAAATCTTCATTGCGCTCACTTGGCTTTGTTCTGCGATGTAGCTTCCAGGGGCTCAGTGAAATCAAGTGACTTCGCTGAGAGGAAGTGTACAGCCACAGCAGCAACAGTTGGAGCACCTAGTATCTCAGTGAGGGTACAAAGATGTATAAATAGCCCTTGCTCTCAAAGAACTTAAAAAAGATACTGTAATAAAAGTTACATTTCATTTTTGAGAGCCCAGCAAAAACAAAACAAAACTCTATGCCAGTACTGTTTTGTTTATTTTCCCAGACTTTGTACTCGTGCTATTTAGCCATTGGATATGTTGATTTCCCATAGAATACATAATATTGATTTGAGTATTTTGTGGAGAATCTTCCACAGAGTCTGTTTTAAGATGATTGATAAGGCAAAGCTGTTTTCCACACCATCCATTTGTTCGCATAGGTGCACACACACATAGGGAAGCACAGATTGTCCTCACTGTCATTTATTGAGTTCATACAATGTACCATAGTGATAACTGCTTCTGTAAGTTGTTTCTCTTAATTCTCACAACAGTCCTATGAGAGTAGGTGTCGTTATTGCTTATCTCTGAAGTGAAGAAGTCCAGAGAAGTCAAATGTGTTGCCCACACTCTTGTTAATACTTAAGAGCATCAGGATCTGAATCTAGATCCTTTTCTCTCCTTTTCGGCTGTTCACAAAGTGATTTGCTGTGCTTCTGTGGACCCTCCGAGGTAGTAAGTTATCAATGAATTCCCCGGTGTGATAAAACCCTCAGTATTCGTTCAGCTGCGAACACGAGCATTGCCATCCCTAGCACTGTGTGCTAGAGGTGGCTTAGGCTCCATTACCGTAGCTTTGTGAGACGGGATGCTCAGGAGAGCTTGTTTGCCCCGGTCACTGGGAGAGAGCAGAAATTTGTGTCACTCTCGAAAGAACCTTTTATCGTGAAGAGGGTTGTGTACATGCACGAGTAATTTTATCTTTAAAAGTGATTATTTGTTTTTATCCCAAATAAACCAAAAACCCAGTTTCAAGAAAGTTCCTTATAGTTCAGATGAGGAATGGGGAGGTTGTAGACAGAGAGAGCACCTTTGAAGCCCAGAAGTGACATTGCCCTTCACCAGATGGTGAGGACGGGGTGACAGGCTACCAGGGAGTCTGGTCTTACCCAGAAATTTGGTGCTAGCAAATTAGCACTATTTAGTAAAATGTTTTGTTCTTATTTTGTTTTTGTTCTTTTAATCAATTATGATTATATAACAACATTTTTTGGCAGGGGATTACTAGCCTCATGATTCTCAGAGTTGGATTAACCGTGAAACCATTATGTTCTGGAGTTTGGCTATCTCTACTGCTTTATGTATTAGACACCAACACTTCTGATTTTAACCAGCCTTTTTTGGACTGCTTTTCTTTGTCTACGGCAAGGATGTATTTTAGTTTTTATTTTTTGAGCCACAATAAAGCTATAATACTTAGCATCTATAAATAAGAACTCTCTGCCATATAATGAAGGAAATAAATTTCCAGGCTTAGGAGGAAAATCATGGGGTATGTTTGATAATTTATTGCAGTAAAATAATTTTAAAGTGTTCAGTCATGAAAAAGTTGTTATAAATACTCAAGAATTAACAAGTTCTCAATCATTTTAATATATTTTTTTAAGTAGGCACGATATACCTGCATATTCAGCATATGATGTGCAAATAGTTGCAATACTTACTAAGAAGCCCCATTGGCAAGGGCGTCCTCATTTGTCTTTTGTTTTGTTTTATTTTGTTTTGTTTCCTTGATGCATGGTATTCAAACATTGCTTCTTCCCTCTAAGATCTGGCAGAGATGATGTGACTCGGTAGCTTTTTCTAAGGCAAAGTGATGAAACTAGGATGATTGTTAAGAGGTCCTTGCCGTAGAACACACTGGGATAAAGAAACCACTGCCTGTGTCATCCCGTTGGCGTTGGGAGTATTTCTGACGATACAAAAACAGAAAAGAGGGATGATACTGGTAAACTGCCAGCAGTTCTGATTTCGCTTTTCTGAACAGAGAAAGGTAATCAAAATATCTTGCCATCCATCCTGTCTGTAAATTCATCAATTGGGTCTGCGAAAGCTGAGGGAAAGACCGGGTGTGGTATTGAAGATTGCATTATTTTTTAAAAGATAGCATTTTAATACATTTAAATTGAGGTTTTATGTAAACCATGACCTAGTTTCCTTAGACTCAGTACTGATCAGATCAGCATGCTAAGTTAATCAGAAAATTAGGCCAGAGTATTAGAAACATCTAAACTAATCCAGTCCTCTCTTTTACAGAAGAGGGAAACAGCCCCAAAGACATTAGGGGAATGCCCAGGTGCACACACCTCGTTAGAGTCAGAGCCAAGAGTAGAACCCAAGGGAACCCGGGCATCCTGAGTTCCAGTCTGTAACTGGAGTTTAGGGGAGAAGAACAAGCTTACGTTTTCACTGAGCTGGAAGGGATATCCTTGTTTTCAAAATTATGAAGTGTTTTAATCTTAAGTTTCTGTTAGAAGTACATTCAAGCTGCCTGTTTTCAAATACGCTTTTTTCTATGTGTATTTTCACTTTTCATTGTGTAGTGTTGTATCTTGGTTTTAGCAACTTCTTTGGAAAATTAATGGGGTAATAATCTCTAAATGTAATCATTTACCTTTTTATTTTAACAAACATCTCTTACCGTGCCCCATTTATATTTAGTTCTTATTTATGGAGAGGAAACAAGCTACAGTTTTCAGTAATATGAATTTGATAATTAGCATAATCTGTAATGATTATAAACTAAAAAGCAAGTTTTTAAAAATTGCAGTATTCATTTGCATGTCCAGCTCTGTAGCATCTGTATCATTGGTTTAGAATGCAGTCTGCACTGCCCTCTTTTCATCCATGAAAAGGTTTAAAGATCATCTTAAAGGTTTGGGACAGATCTTCAGTCAAAATGATCAAATCTCAACATAATTAGAATGTTTCTGAAGTGAATTTATTTTAAAATTAGGAAAGGGAAAGAAAATGGGAGCCATGAAAGAGACCTACGCAGAGCAGGAAGATGTAGAAATACAAAATATTTATAAATGCTCCTACTAACCTGCTTACTCCCCTAACAGGGAATCCAAAGCATAAATACAAAAAATATCCTACAAAATTTTATTTTACAAGTTATATTTACTAAATCATAGTTGAAGGGAAAAGATGAAATTCCAGGTGGTTAAAAAAGTACAATGGAATTTTGCCTTTTGAATGCAACGTTGAATTTTGCTCAGCCTTCTAATGTTCTTTATATTACACTGGAATTAATTAGACAGCGTTTTTATCATTTTACATTCATTTCAAGGGCCTTTGAAAATGCTTGGTGTAATGTATTTATTTGTGGTTGGTAGAATTAGAAAGACGTCAGCAATATGTGACCCTAACAGCAACGTGCATCCTGTATTAAGTGATTTTTATGCCTGTTTACGTTCTGTAATCCTTCTATTTTACAACTCAGATATCTTAGTATACTGCCACTAGGAATTAATTTATAATGATTATTTATACTGGATGAAGCAGCAGGTCCATTTAGTATGAATCCACTCAGATCAACTTGATCCAACTGAACTTTTATATCTACAGTCCATTATATTACAACTTTTTAAATAGCATTTATAACAAAAAAAACTTTTGTTTTATAAAATATTTGTTACAAAAAAAAACCTTGCCAAAAACCATCACAATTTCTATGCATTGTGTAATATTCGGTGATGTCTTTGTTGAGATTTTGCATGTCCTAATAGGGTGCTCTTTCATGTGTGTGTTAGTGGTGTTTATGTGGAATTGTTCATCATTGCTGCTATCACTTATTGTAGTTAAACTGAAAACCTGTGCTTACGGGGCTGTGCCAGTGGACATTTTCTGTGTGACCTGTGAAAGTCTGTACTTAGTGGTTTAATATTTTGAGCCAGCACTTAGTGGCCTCTGCAAAAGGAGATGTCGTAGTTGTCAAGTGGTGCCAACTTCAAAATCGTGTTTCATGTGTAGAATTCCAGGTTAGCTCTTCTTTACCCCCAGCTCTTTGAGCGGGAAATGTTTGCAAAAAGAAAAAGCAAGAATTCTGAACTCTTTTAGCACTCCCCTACCCCAGCTTAAATTCTTTTTCTTCCCCTGATACTTGAGCACCTTACAGAGAAATCCAATAGAATGATAGTATAGCAGCAAAGTTTCCCTTGATCTGGATATTTTTTGGTTGAACAATAAAATAACGCAGGACTCTAAGGTGCATACATTAGTTTTGTTGGTTATCATAACTTACTGTTGCAATTGCATTTAATGAGAATATTTGGTTTTTAAATTTTATTTATAAGTGACCATGGAAGCCTCAGTGTTCCCAAATATTAACTTTTATATTCAGCATTTATTTGTGTGGACTTATTTAATATATTCTGTTGCCTCCCATCACAATTTTTTATGCCCATTTGTCTTCATGTTGTCTCAGCAATTTCATACAAGCTCTGAAAAGGAAGAGAAGCAATTCCAGTGGATTAATTCTATTATACTACTTGTTAAAAGTCAGCATGGGGGAAAAACCGTTATACTTTTTTATACATTTATAGTCCTAAAATGGAAGAGAAACTACCATGAAAATGTTAGGAAGTCTACTTCCTTAATACCCATTTTCACACCCACATGCCGAACTCCCTCCGTCAGTGCAGTGTCTCCTTCTGTCTGGTCAGTGGGTTTGTAACTGGGAGACCCCTTTAATAGAGGGGTAACCTCCTGGACTGTTCGGAGGCTCTTTGTGTGACTGTCAGATACATGGCGACAGCCAGTGCTGTTTGGAGACACTGCTGCTGAAATTGCCGATTCAACTCTGAGAATGCAAAAAATAGTTCTTGAAGGCCCCTGCTACTTCTTTGCATAAAGGAAAAGAAAGGCAGATTTCGGCTGGGAGCCTTCTCTCCAGGATATGCTTTAAACCTTTGCCGGTCCAGGGAGGTAGTAAAGCAATGAAAGGAAGTTCAGTTACGCGTGTTCTGAAGATGTTCTGCCCTTGGTCGGTGGCCTGCAGAGTAACTCTGAAGTATTTCTTGATTCCTGCGTTGGGGGTTTTCAGGCAAGGCCTTTGTTCTTAGAATTCCTTTTATATTTTGGACACCAAAGATTATGGCAATGTATCCTGATGGTTAACATTCACAGTTCCCGTTAGTTAGCTGTGGGCACGTTTATTTGAATCCTCTTAGTTTTATTTACCCCTTTTCTGTCTTCTGTACATTTTATATGACTGTCCTGAGACCTTTATGCCTATACATGGGCTACTTTTGAATCAAGTAATACATACATATTTGTTAATTTTCCAATTTTATAGGGTTATGTTTCCACCGTGACTTTAAGCTTTTCCTCACTGCTAACATTAGACATAGATTTGCCCCATGGTGAGCAATAACTTGTACCTTTTTCGCTGTAATCTGAAAATGTAACTAATCCTGTAGGCTGAGACCTGGTGAGAGAATGACTGGAAGAGTTTTGGATTCAACAGAATCACTATATAACTCATTTATTTGGTGGTTTAGTAGAATGAATGCTGTATTCAACTTCAATAAGGTCTTCCATCTTTCGTACAAATTTTAAGAATGATTTAAAAATTCCTTTTAGTCTACCACTTGGAAGTTCATTGGGAATACAAATTATACCAATTTAGTATAACATGATCCCAGGCACCTGTTTGGAAATATAACCACACAATACCTAGAAAACTTTTGTGAACATTGAACTGTTCTTTGAAGATGCATTCACTTTGTCCCCTATTTGATAGAGATCATTTTTGATACATTTTCTGACCACTAGGCTTTTAAGTGATATTACATGAAAAAGCACATGTGTGCCTATTCACTCTAATATTTAAAATTTTTCTTCTTAAGCTGCTACATTTATAATTTGTGAAAGAAAGAGAAAGGTGAATTCAAATGGAGAGAAATTTCTGTTAATATGTTCAAATGTGTGACTGTGATACTCTTGGTTAATTAATTATTCTGCCAGTTGATATTTGTAATATAATACAACTTTTTTGTTAATAAGTGTATATTCTCGGTTTCATTTTATTTTTCGGCTCACTGATCTTTTCCTCTAAAATGTTTTCATCTTTTATCAGCTCACTGTTTTTGCTTCGTATTTGTCTGTGTACTTGTGCGCTAAATAAACTTCTAGTTTTGTGTCCCGGTGGCTTGTTCCTTGTGTGTGCGGTGTTTGCCTACAGTGTAATAGTGTGATTTTCTATCATGTTCCGTATTTCCCGGTGCAGCCTAACCTTATGGAAATAAGAAATACAATCCAATAAAATCAGCTAATGTCTCTATCACAGTATTTTATCTGTATTTGGGTATGATTAGTCTTCATTTAATAAATGGTTTTCTGCAATGCTGGCTGACTTTTGTAGCTACAGCAGTTTAAAAGCAATTTAAACCACGTCATGCAAAACAGAATTGTCCTGTTCAGTGTGCATCAACCCACAGAGTTAATACATATTAAGCAGAGCATTCCATGTCCAGTGTTTCTGGCTGTCGAGGAGCGGAAGCTGTGGAGAGAGAAGCATTTCTATGTGTGGGGACGTGGAAGCAGCCCATGGGGCAGGGAAGACACTTCAGGAGGGCAGCTACAACTGAACTCATCACATGCTCCTGGAGCCCCGGTCCCCCAAACCCTGTGTTGGGGCAAAAGTCTCTACTCAGATTCACCCTCTGTCTTTCTGTCGGTGGAGCTCTGTTGGCCAATGGTGCGAAGTGATACCAAGCTAAGCAGATGTCTGCTTCCAGACTTCCTCATTCTTAGGAAAAATCTTTTGGTCGGATAGAATTCTTCCTATGTTCTTCGTTGCATTTAGCACATTTGACAATGTTCTGTGAGCAGAATACGATTGGTTATTCAAAAGGATTATAATAATTAACTTCAGACGTCTTTGTTGTATCACTAAAATTATTTAGTAAAGAAAAGCATATTAAAGCACTGGAAAACATAATGTTCTCTTTGACAAAAATGCAAGTGTAATTCTTGTAGATGTATGAATAATCCACCAAAGTCTACTCAGAAAGCTGAATAATGCAAATAGCAATAGCTATACTTTGTAAGATAGTATTGTAAATGGTATTAAAGTTACTTTACAAATACTTGTAATGTAATTTTAATGTTTTTGTAGTACTTTAAGAAACAAGTTACATAATTAAAATGTGATAGATTTAATTTCCCTGACAGAGGAAGAATATTAGAATTTTAGTGATACAACAACTTGAATTAGAATTCAAGTTGAGTAATGTATGACCTGCAAATCATAGAATGTCTTCTTTTTTAAAGCTTTATTTATTTTAAATTAATCTTTTCTAGGATTTCAAGTGACTAAAATAGCTAATATGTATAACATAACAATGTTGGTTCTATATCAAGTATAGGGTCATTGGATCATGGAGTAATATGCGTATGTTCAACTTTAGTAGATACTGCCAGTTAGCTTCCAAAGTGGTTGTACAGATCATCATTCCTGCCAGATGAGTAAGAGAGTTGTGTTGTTTCATATCTTCACCAACACTTGATGTTTATAGACGTTGTTTTTAATTTTAGACATTTTGGTGAGTGTATTTTAATTTATAGTTCCTGAAAGGTTAATGATAATTTCTTATTGTGTGCAGTGCCCATTGAAGTTTGTCCATTTTTAATTGGACTGTCTTCCTTCTAATTGATTTGTCAGCTATATATTTATTTGTCAAATTTCTCTGTTATTTTGCTTGCCTTTTCACCCCCTTAGGCACATTTTGATAAATGTCTTTTTAATTTTAATGAAATCCAATTTATTGGTCTTGTGCTTTTGGGCTAATAATATTGACGCCCTGTTTGAAAATACGCCGTTACCCCATGGTCCCAAGAATGGTCTCTTGTGTTTTCTTCTAGGAACTTCATTGTTACTACAGCTCACATATAGGTCACGATACATTTGGGATTTTGTTGTTGTTCATAGTGCGAGGGAGGCATTCAGTTTGCTCATATTGTGTTAAGGATTTTTTATCTGTGTTTAGGAGCTGTGTTTGCTTGTAATTTTCTTTTATTGCATTTTTCTTGTCATATTTTTATAGAAAACTTATGCTGCCCTATAAAAGACATTAAATAGTGTTCCTTTTTTTCCCTATTCACTACCAAAGTTTTTAGGTTTGGCATTATTTGTTTCTTAAATTGTAAAAATTTACTTGTGAAATTTATCTTAACCTGAAGGGTTCGTGTGTATGTGTGTGAAAGAGAGAGAGAGAGAGAGAATTTTAAAATGTAGATTGAATTTCTTTAATGGATATAGGACTATTTAAATTTTATGTTTCTTGTTCAGTTTCGGTAAGTTGTGGCTTTTCTAGATATTTGTCCATTTTATCCAAAATTTCAAATTTATGGGCACCAAGGTCATAATATTTTTACTGTCTAATATATCTGTAGTTTCTGCAGTGATAGCTCCCTTTTCACTCCTGCTGTAGAAATTGTGCTTCTTTTTTTTAAATTTATTGTATTGATTTATCTTTAGAGGGGAAGGGAAGGAGAGAGGGAGAGAACCATCAATGTATGGTTGCCTTTGGTGTATCCCCTGCTGGGAACTGACCTGCAGGGAACTGGTCTGCAACCCAGGCATGTGCCCTGACTGGGAATTGAACCGCGATTGTCTTGTTCGCAGGCCCGCGCTCAATCCACTGAGCTACACCAGCCAGGGCTCTTTTCTTATATATTTATTAATTTTAATAGTCTTTCAGCTCCATCTCTTGGCTTTACTATTTCTTTAATTGCAAACTTTCATTGATTTCTGTTCTTATGTGTATTGTCTCCTTCATCGTACTTTGGGGTATATTTGTTTTTCTCTTCTTTGACGTCCTGATAACAATTGATAGTCAGCCTTTCTTTTCTAATATGAATTTCATACAGTCATTTTTCCTAAAGACACTACAATAATCTTACCCCGTAACTTAGACAAGTCGTGCTGTCATTCAGTTTGAAGTATTTGCAAAGTCCCATTGATTTTTTTCCTTTCACCAAGGGTTTATTTAGAAGTATATGATTTCTTAATTGTCTGTTAACAAAATGGAAATTTAGAATTCTCTTCCTTCTTTCTCTTCTTCCTTTTCCCTTTTTTCCCTAAATCTTCAGTTTAAAAGCACTTGCTGGGGAGAGCAAAGCAGGTGTTGGCACTGGAGCGTGTGTGCGCATTGAAGGAGCTGGGATGGTCCAGCATGAAGCCTGCAAAGTGTCAGGAGGGTGTGTACACGGGAACTGCCCGGTGCGGGGTGCAGGCAGGTGACTGGGGCAGGAGGTATATTTCAGGAAGAGGGCAATCTGGCAAAATGGTAACAGTGTGAATTGGGAGAGAAAAGCATCCCACGGAGGGTTAGCCAGGTATGTGGTGTGGTCGCCCGAGCAGGGTGAGTGGGGCAGCCACACTGCAGTGGGGAAAATGGGGAGAAGCCCCGTGTGAGAAGTCAGAGCCTCACTGAAGTGAGCAGGGCTTCCATGCATGCGGGTGGCCTGGTGGGAGCGGTCATCCCAAGAAGGGCGATGAAGGCTGCCATGTATGTAGCAGGGCTTCTGGCACGGGATGTCAGAGCTTGAGTAGAGTGAGAACAATGTCCGTATTTGGAGGATGGCCCAGTTCAGGGTCCCATGCTGTGAGTGGGTAAGGAGGGCAGCTGTGTGTGTGTGTGAGAGGCATGTCACAGCCAGGTGTCGTAGCGCAAGGGGGTGAGGAAAGTCCGTGAAAGACCGAGGAGCAGGACGTAACACAAACACGATGCTGGACCGGATCCCTTCCCAGTGCAGTATGTTATTGGGGCAACTGGCAGAACTTTCATGGGCACACACTTTCCATTTTCATTCTACAGTCTCTGCCCCGTGATTAAAATTTAATTACTTAAGGTCACATCATTTAACGTAATTAAACCTATGCTGTAATCGAGTGATGGGGACTGAGCTGTGTTGCAAATAAATCCTGTTTTTGTTGTATTAAAAATATATTGAAACTGTAGTGTTTGTCTAAATAAATCAGACTTAGTTTTCCTCACTGCAGGTTGATCCGAGTACATTTTTGGAGCTAGCATATGCTCTGTATAAGTGGCCAGTATTTAAATCGCATTCTATACTGAGAACTTGATCTCTGTAGTACCTGATTCTTTCGTTGCAGTGTCCAGAACTTAGAGTCAGCAGGACCCAAGTCCAAATCCCGACACTTGGACTCGGCTGACTCTTGCACTCACTAACTCCATGACTTGGGACAGCTCAGTGCCTGGCACAGAGAGTATATCTCAGTCAGTATTGGGTGAATGATGTATGAAGTTACGGACTGTTTGAGGTTCTGTTTCCTTATTTGTAAAATTGTTACAACAGTAGGGTTGCTTAGAGCTTACAGATAATTTATGTAACTCTTGGTATGTAGCACAGGTGGCAAACACAAGGCCCGTGGGCCGAATCCAGCCCTCCACCTCGTTTTATCGGGCCTGGCACTTTGTTTCTACCTGGTGGCAGCGCCGAGCTCTCACTTAACTGGTAAGGAGTAGTTACATTTACACGGTCCTAAAATTACATTCGGCCCTTTGAAGGGAACCTTGAGGCTGATATGGCGCTGGGTGACAATGAGTTTGACACCTCTGGTATATAGTAAGCAGATGCTAGTAGATGTTAGTGCTAGATGTAATAATAATACATTTTATGCTAGAATCCTTGCATAATATCAAGGATTTAATGTTAATATCAAGCAAGTCCCAGAAGTAACACAGGTTATCTCAGCTTCTGAGGGTGGTGTGAGAAATATGTCTGCGTGACTCACGGGCTTCAGATAGCTTTGCTAGCAACGTTTATTCCTGTCTTGCTGTAAGCATTTATTAAAGCAAATTGTGTGTTCAACAATTAACAGTTGAGGTGAAGGCAGAGTCTTAAGGAGTGTACAAACCAATTGAGATCTTTTAACACAGGTCGCAATTCTAGAGAATAAAATAAATGTGAGACATACTGAAAGAAAGAATAAGGGAGTTGAGCAGAATGGGGAAAATTATGTACAAGTGAGCTTTGAATTGGAATTGAAAAACAGACACTTGATTGATACAAAGACGATGGGGAGATTTCTCAGGCTCAGTGTGGGGAAGGTGTGGTGTGGGTGTCCTGAGTGTAGCCAGGTGCTGGGGACCTCACAAGGCTGGCGGTTTGAGTTCCAAGGTGGGAGCAGTGAAAGGTGAGGTGAGTTGGGTAAAGTGAAGCAGATTTGCAGGTCACCTTGGTAATTGAACTATCTTTTCATTTTGCTATTTCTCAGCCTTTTAGTTCTTTGTTTTGAACTTAGAAACATTCTAGAGAAGGTCAGAATCACTGGATATAAAATACGAATTGGCATCATTTTTACTTTAGGTGGTCTACCTGGATTTTTTTTTTAGCCAAAGATAACAATATGAACAATTTATGCCTCTTTTTAGTAGGTCAGAGTATGAGAAAGGTTATGGACCTGATTATGTCTTTGGTAACCAAGAAAGTAGACACGTTGAGGAAAACCGGTTTTAATCTGAAGTAATGTGGCAATTGCAATTTAAAACCTGTTGCCTTTTTCTGAGACGTGCGAGTGTCTGGAGTGTCCATCCCCCTCTTCCCCCTAATGTGTCTCTCCCTCACCCCCTCATTCTAATTCTAAGCTAGCGGATGAGTTGTGGAGTCAGGTTCAAATGTCTTTCTCTTTATTAATTTTTGAAAAGAATTAAAGAAATACACCAACACTGTTTAGTTCAGGGCTGCCCAGGATGGCACATTGAGGCACCTGAAGTTGTATATTACAGAGAAATAACAGCTCCTCATGTGCTAAGGGTAAGGAGAAAGGATGTGTGACTTGTCTTCCCTTCTGTCTTGTTGTTGTTAATAGAAATGCTGTTGTTTCCAGTGAAAATTTTAGACAGAACATTTTTTGTTTCCCTGCATGAGTGCATCCGTTAGCATGTATGGCAAATTGTTGTGATTACTTGCAAGGTGACTGCATTGATTTCATGCTAGAAATATTGCTTCTACTTATTTG